ACACACACACACACACACACACACACACACATCATAGAAGGAAACAAAGTAAAACAGTACCAGTAAATACGGAATGCAAGAACTATTACACATGGAGAAATGATTTTCAACTACAATAATTTGTTTATGGAGTGATATCAGTTGCTCTGTAGGATGTTAAGCAGCACACATGGGCTCTATAAACCAGATGCCAGCAGCACCCCCTTCGAGTTATGACCATCAAAAATAATCCACAGCCCTGGCTGGGTGGCTCAGTTGGGTGGAGCATCAATCCATACAACCAACAGGTTGCAGGTGTTATCCCCAGTCAGGGCGTCTATGGGAGGCAACTGATCAATGTTTCTCTCTCTCTCTCTCTCTCTCTCTCTCTCTCTCTCTCTCTCTCTCCTTCCTCTGTCTCTAAAATGAATAAAAACATATTCTCGAGTGAGGATTTAAAAATGTACATGTTGGTAGTTAAAAAATAGTCACAGGAATGTAAAGTACAACATAGGGAATATAGTCAATAATATTGCAATAACTATATGGTGCTAGTTGGGTACTGGAAATATTGGAGAGAACACTTTGTAAAGTGTGTGGGCTTACTTCTAATATTGAATTTAAAACAGAGTGGGTATTTAAAACACAGGAAGAGAAAGAAAAGGTAGCCCTCCTAGTCAGTTATTGAAACCAATCAAGATCTCTAAAACAAAGGGGCCTAGTGGGGCAAGGTGGCCTGGCTCTTTATCTAGTTGTGTGGATGACGTGTACATTCTTCTCTGAAATGGATGCTTCCTTAATCAAAGTTTGTCAGGCACTTGAGTATAAAAAAGAAAAAAAATAATAGTGCCGATGAAGAAAACTGAGATATACCCCTTAGTTAAGTGGCCAGGTGAATTGATAATGTATTTACGCTGATCAATAGTTGATAGAAAGGAAGCATAAAACAGAATATGAATATATTTTCTTTGCTTTTGCTCTCAATTTCAAAAAGCAAGCTAATATTCTTAAACCTCTTATGCATCCCTTTATTGATTATCATCATGAGGAAATGAATGAATATTGTATAATATTTAGGAAAAGTCCTAACACATAACAAGTGCTTAATAAATGTGAACTGTTATATAGTTTTCTGACCAATAGGTTCATTAATTTTATGGTATTTAAGGAATTCTGGTGTGGCTTTAGTCACTGTGCCCTATGGGAATTTAGGAGATTTTATAATGTCATAAGAAAGGGAGAATTTATAAGAAATATTTGTGTTGTTATGGCAATAATAGGCTGTGACCCGCCTATATGACACCAGGATGTAAGACTGTAATGCACCATAATATCTAGAAGGAGGCACTTTGGTTGTAAATAGGTTTTTCCCAAATGGGGATAATTTAAAAAACAAATTTCTTAACGGCATTCCATAGAGATTAATTATTATACGTTACACCATACATTGTATTAGTTTAATTTTTACATATTTTGTTATACCACATAAATTAATAATTGATTTGCAACTTGAGGGACCCTTCCCCAGGAGCTTAAATTACATATAAGTCTCTAACTGGGTACCACACTTGTCCTAACATCTCCAGCACCGGGGAGGAAATGTCTGTCACTCAGGTTTGTTAGCTACAACTAGGCTCTGGTTACTTGAAAATTAAAATGGACATGTTTTCCCAGAAAACATGATTTTAAAAATACAGCTAACTCGTTTGTCTGCTAATTAGAGAATGATTTCACAGACCATATTCCTGTGCACTTACTGTTCAAATGCTTTTGTCTTTTAGTATTGAGAGACAGTTGATGGTGAAATTAGAACCATTTCCTCTGGAACACCAAATGTTGATGTGTATGAAAGAATACAGAGGAAACAAAAGGTAGTCTCTCTCTCTCTCTCCCTCCCCCTCTCTCCCCCTTCCTTTCCACTTTGTTTCACACCAATTTTTGTCATGGAATCTAAAATTTGTGACCATGGAGGAACTCCCTAATTCTTTTTTTATGTTAATAGAGTAACTTTTATAATTATATTTAATTACCTTTATTGGGGTGACATTTTAATAACCTTACATAGCTTTCAAGTGTACATTTCTGTGATACACCATCTGTATTTTGCATCATGTGCCCACCACCAGAAGTCAGATCTTCCGTCACCATATATTTGACCCTCTTCACCCTTTACTACACCCAGTCCCCTTCCCTCTGGTAACCTCCATACTTTTGTCACCCTATATTCTGAAGGTTGAATTGATGTGCCTGAGAGTTGGTCATGGAGAGATAGTCAGGACATGAGGACTATGGCTATTCATTAAATGAGGTCTTTAAGATTTGTTTTCAGTTTACCATAAAGCAGTTTCTTATTATCAGCCTAGAACATAGGAAGA